GTAAACGCAATCATGTTTGACTTTTGGATGTTTTAATGTGGATAATTACAAATCAAGTGTATAAATGAATGAAAGCAAATACTCACATTTAAGGGCAGAGCTGTGCTGCGAGGCAGTCCCTCCTCACCTGTGCGCTCTGCTGCTTTCCCTGCTGACATGGCACATGCAGTTCGGCCTCTCTCTGTCTAATGTCCAGTAATGTGTCCTAGGAGAGGTCATAGTGGCATCCATGGCGTATAGCTATGTTGTGTAAAACACAACATGCCACAAAGAATGCACCGACACTCTGCGGGCTGTATGTTAATGAACCACCTGACCGGTCCAGACATCTGAAACGCATTTTGAGGATTCCAAAAGTACGTTCAATGACTGACCTAGCACTGCTAAAGACACTGTTAAAAACACGTTGCTGTCTTGTTGAAGGTGTAATGTATGGCGTCATCAACCACGTTTTCAGTGGATAGCTGTTATCACCTAGCAGCCACCCATCCAGAGGGATGTCCCCCTGAAAGACTGTAGGGATGATAGAATTCGCCAGGATGAATGAATCATGTGCAGACCCGGGGTAATTAGCGTACACGTTTGTCACCAGGCAATTTGAGTCACAAATCACCTGGCTATTGATGGAGTGGACTCCCTTACGATTCACATAAATGAGGGCTTGGGTCTCTGGTGCGCGCAACTGCACATGTGTGCAGTCAATTGCTCCAAGGACTCCAGGGAATCCAAATTTCAACAAGAACCCTCGCTTCGTTTCCAGCTGGCTTGCAGGTGATGATGGGAAAATGATGTGCTCATTTGCGTGTCGGACTAGACTGGTGGACACTGCATGTATGGCCAAACTGACAGCGGCCTGACTTATCCCTACCACCGAGGCCACGGTATGCTGGAAAGACCTGGGGCCTTATGTATCAACGCTTGCGGCGCAAGAAAACCTTGCGTACGCCAAAATCGGCGCACAAGTCCAGATTTATCATCGCGAAACGAGCGTCGGTTCCAGCGCTAATCAACGCGAAGTCAGGAGGTGGTGTAGAAATTGGCGTTGAGCCGATACTTGCGTTGACTGTGATTCGCACTTTGGCGACGCTGTGTGGCAGTGTTTGGTGACTCACTATGTGACAAGCGTGCACCACATCCCCGTGGCCGAGCAGCACGTCGCCCCACATGACGAACCAGCAGCAGACAGAGGGATGCGAGCTGATCCCTGCCGGGCCGCCGTCCTCGCACGGGAGAATCTCATCGCCATAGTGTGAATGGGTAAGAAGTGAATACACAGTTCAATGAGCCAAATTAATTTATTTTCTCCACCAGACGCTCAAGGACATTTACGAGCCGGTCCAGCCGCTCGTTGATCCCCGCGATCCCCCTGATGATTTCTTCCTGTGATTGCAGGACCCCCTCCGCGAGGACCCTTCCACTGCGTCCGGGTGGTCCAGCGGAAGCGCCGCGGCTGGTGGACGCTCCACCGCTTGTCGGCGCGCTGGTGCTGATGCTGGTGCTGGTGCTGGGGCCGGGGGCTGGGGTGGCCCGAATGCCGCTGGTCCTGGCCGACGACTCCGAGCCGGCGGACGGGCTGCCGCGGGCCGGGGTTCTGCAAGCCGGCGACACGGCCGACACATTAATTTCTGTGACACAATAAAAATATTAGTTCATTTCAATTCCTGCTTCTATGTATCTGTTGCGTTTACATCTCTCTCCACGGTATCATAGGTAATGTAATCCAGTATTTCGAGGTCAGTTATGCACATTACAGTTGTTTATTGCATAAAAAGTTATCGAAAAATGAAGTTAAGGGCGAAGTATAAATCACGTCTAAAAATAGACTGAATCCCGACGTTGAAATGAAGTATAAACTTAGACTAGACGTCTAATATACGTCTTTTGCTCAGTGGGATGACAAAGCATGTGGACATTTGTGTGACACGCCACTTACCCTATAATAATAATCGCCACCACCCGCTGCTCAAACGGTGTGAGGGTCTCCTCCCCCGGACCCCCACCTGTCTGGCCGGTACTCCTCTGGAGGGCAGCTGTATGCCGCTTGACCTCCACCTTGAGGCCCGACCACTTTTTTTTTAATCTTCGCGGGGGTGCGTGTCTCGGAACCCACCGCATTCACCCTCTCGCAAACTTTCTCCCACTCCAAGCGTTTTTGTTTTGCACTGACGCCACTGGACAGGCTGCCAAACAAAACACGCTGTCGCTCCTCCACCTCCGCCACCAGCTCCTCCACCTCGCACGCCGTAAATTTAGTTTTTCTTGTCATTTTGTCTGCGTGCGAGGACAGGGAGACCCTATTTAAATAAATCTGCATATTTATAGGAGGGCGTAACGGGGACGGGCCCAGTCACTCCGACATCTGCGCTCAATTCCACGCTGATTGGGATTTATCAAGGAAACACACGTGGATTTCGGCGCCCGCACACATTGATACATACAGATTTTTTTCAGCATGACGGACCTTGCGTGCGCTCGTTTCTGGTATGAGTTCCATGCAAGTATTGATACATAAGGCCCCTGGGGTCCGTTTCACGTAGATGGTTCAACAAACTCTGAGTTAAATCCTTAACTCTGACTTGATCTACTCTGAGTTAGGAAACTCTGAGTTTCCGGTTTCACAACACCTGGGGCCTGTTCTACGAAGCAAGTTCAACTTAGCGAGGTAGCCTTGGAGCTACCTCGCTCAACTTAGCGCGGTAGCCAGCGGTCTCGCTACACGGTTTTACGACGCTGGTTATCAACCTCATAAGTGGATCCAGCTTTGCAATGAGCGCGTGCACACATATAAGGCGGAGCCCGCCGCATCTGACCAATCGCGAACATGGATCAGTCTGGAGCGTCAGAGCAGGCTGGAGAGTGAAGGACCGCGGACTTTACTAACGAGGAACAGGAGACGATCATGAGAAAGTATGAAGAATTGAAAGCTATCACAAGCCTCAAAAGCAACACCGTCGCCGCTGCAAAAGCACAGAGGGAATGCTGGCAGAAAAGTAATCTTTGATGCCATTTTCACCCTGAAATAGCACTGTTCAACATGCGCTTTTAACTAAAGTGACAGTCCCTGAATTGGATGATCTGTCCCCGGCTAAAGCTGTCCCCGAAAATGTCCCTGATTTAAGCGGTTCATGAATGAGAACAAAAATGTTGCATGTGGGCTCGAACAACGGTTATTACAGTAGGTAGGAAGCACAAGTAAGCAGTCCTGAACAACAATATTTATGGGTTAATTTTAAGTTGCGTGCGCTGCTAATAAATAGTACCGAGATGTTGTCTGTGATCGCGCAGCTCATGCCCATTCATTCCCAAGATGAATCATTCATTTGTTCATTCCTATCGTGTTTACATGTTTTGTGTAATATGTCGGCCATATGAGCCTTTCATAAAGGTGGTCATCCGGAGAAAACTCTCGCGAGCAGGAGTGCTCCTCCTCGGACACTGCGAGCACCGAGGTCTATAGGATCCTCCAAGAACGGACAAGCCATTTTTCGAGAGAGCTCATTGGTCAGTGGGCGGGGTTTTTATACTCCGTGAGTTCAATCCGGAACTTAACCTGCCCCGGAGCAGTTTAGCCGTTCAGCGTATATTGCTATGGAGACTCGCCTCGCTAAGAAGTGAACCCACGTCGTAGAACTGGAAACCCCGAACTTATCCTCGAAGTTACCTCGCTAAGCAGTAATCCTGCTTCGTAGAACAGGCCCCAGATTTGAGTCAGATTTATCAACTCCGAGTAGTTTGACCTCGAGTTAAGCACGTGCACGCCAGATATAAACAGCCAGCATCTGTGGAGCCCAGATTCATTGATCAACCATGGAAACAGGGAGAAGGAGGGCAACATTTTTTACACCAGTGGAGCAGGAAGTCTTAATGCAAGCTTACGGTGAATTACAGCACATTTTGAAACGAAAGTGCAATACAGCAGCAGCTGCAAAGGAGAGGGAGAGGGCATGGGAAGAAATTGCTGCTCGTGTCAATGCGTAAGTTTAAATGTAGTCTTGTGCAATCACAATGACAGACTGTTGCAGGGGAAACTGCTTGCATGGAGCAAATTAATTTATTTTATGTAGGTGCAATCCAGCGGGACAAAAGCGGACTTGGCAGCAGCTGAAAATGAAATATAAAAACATTTTGCAAACAGGTGAGACATCGGCATTTTCTCATTTTGATCATGTTTTACATTGTCAAGTTAGTATTAAGTGGCAGTTTGATCCCTTACAAAATGCTCTTTACTTTCTTTACTCTCTTATGATGTTCCGTTAAATGATTAGGAATAATAAACTAACACAGACTTTCACTCAGCAAACAGAAAGAGGGCAGATGCCCGTAAAACGGGTGGTGGACCAGCAGCCACACCTCTAACAGAGGCAGAGGAGCTGGCCCTGAGCCAGAACAGGGGACGGCCGGTGGCTGAGGGAATCCCTGGCGGGAGCTCGTCCTCTGAGGTCCCCCCCGCCCAAGACACAAGTGCATACATAATATGTAATATTTCTCTACCTATATATTCCTCTCTTTGTAAGCCTATTCATACAAATATTTCTTTCCCTTTAATGTATTTTTCCTTTTGTCCCGACAGATTCTGATGGTGCCATTCGCCTCTTGGAACCCCCTCATGACGCAGCAGACCCTCCAACTGTAAGTAGACAATACACGAAAGCCTTTGCTGAATGGTGGTTGAAGAATACTGAATCATATCACTCATCTAGGACAAAGTCGACGATGATGAGGAGCAAACCACATCTGCTGCGTTTACAGTGGAGGAGCCTGGAAGGCCTATGGAGGTAGCTTCTTGATATGTGACTAAGATTTCTCTTTCCACTGACATTTCTGACCATTCTGGTTGTAAATGACCCATATTTGTTCATTTTACAAAGGGGAACCATCCTACATAACTCTTTTGTGTATGCCTGTTTGTGGTTTAGTGTATGTGTTGCAATGTTTGGGTTTTGGGTGCTTTTGTTTTGAAGGCGCAAATCCGGCACTTATATTTTATTCTGAAAGGGCCAGGACGTTGTCCGTGTTTGTTCTTTTGAGTGATTGATCGCGGAAAACGAAGGACACATGCTATGAGAAGAAGATGTTACATGTATGGTACGGGAATCCGCTTCATGTAAAGGATGAAACATCGTTAATAGCGCTTAACTGGATGGTGCAAAGGTATGTTTGTGGGGGCTGTTCATGTGTAAATTGATTTGTTGTCCGGTTTGCTAACCTTGTGTATGTGATTGACAAGTGCGCCCGGATGAAAATGTGAGAGTGTAATTGTGCTTTGTGTTTTATTTCAGCTCTTACGGTGTCTGTGGTGTGTGTGTTAAAAAAATTAAAAGTTGAAGCCACATCACAGTGCATCTGTCCTCGTTCATGGAGTCTTGAAATCCAGTTGAGATGCTACACTGGTGGAGTCCAGAGTGACACTATTAACACATTCTCATCCCTTTTGAACAGAGCGTGGCTGGGCAGCAGCAGGAGGCTCCCTCTACGTCCACGGCACACATTGACTCCCAGTTACCAGTAAAAGAGGTGTATAAAATACATCTTTTAAAAGAAATACAAAAAATGGATAAAGAGATGCTATTGCTGGGCCGGCAGATAAAAAAAGCAGATCTCGAAATAGAAATACTGGAGCACAACTTAAAGGTGGGTGCATTGTCACGCGTCATTTATGTCAATGATGTGAACTATTGGAACATTAACTTAACTGTCTTTTTGTATTTGTAGGAAATAAAGAAAAACAACTGAAATGCGCTTCATGATTTTTTTTATTTCTGGGGGTGGTGATGGTGATGGTGATGGTGATGGTGATGGGGGTGGGGGTGCTTGAAACTCAAAAGTGGTTACGGCAGATTGCGTCTCTGACTGCTCGGCCGTCCTGAATTGGTGGCAGGTGGATGGGGTCATCATCTGGCTCCGCAATTTGTATGGCGGGGTGTTGCTCTCCTCTAATAGTGGCAATATTAGATATTACAGCACCGAAACCGCACTGCTAAAAATTACTAACGACCTTCTCACTGCATCTGACTCCGGTTCACTTTCCATCCTCATCCTCCTCGACCTTAGTGCAGCCTTCGACACTATCTCCCATCCCATCCTCCTTCGTAGACTCTCCTCCATCGGCATCACCCACACTCCCCTCCGTTGGTTCCACTCTTACCTCTCAGACCGCACACAGTTCATCCAGCTCAAATCATTCAAGTCCGACCCCTCCCCAGTCAGTTCAGGTGTGCCCCAGGGCTCTGTCCTGGGGCCCCTGCTGTTCATCATCTACCTCCTCCCCCTTGGTTCCATCTTCCATAAATACAACATTCGATACCACTGCTACGCTGACGACACCCAGCTCTACCTCTCCAGCTCACCAAACTCCACCCTCCCACCCACCTCCCTCATCACCTGCCTATCTGAAATTAAATCCTGGTTCACCTCCAACTTTCTCCAATTAAACAGTCAGAAAACAGAAATTCTTCTTGTAGGTTCCAAATCCACCCTATCCAAAGTTGACAGTCTCTCCCTTCCCATCGACAGTTCCTCAGTTTCCCCCTCACCTCAGGTCAAGAGTCTGGATGTCGTCCTTGACAGTTCTCTTTCTTTTAAATCCCACATCAGCCTTACCACTCGCACTGCCTATTTCCACCTCCGCCACATCAATCGTCTCCGCCCCTCCCTCTCCCCCAACACCACCTCCATCCTCGTCCACAGTCTCGTCACCTCCCGTCTGGATTACTGCAACTCCCTCCTCTTCGGTCTCCCTTACACGTCTCTCCATAAATTTCAACTGGTCCACAACTCCGCTGCCCGTATCATCACCAAAACCCCTTCGTCCAACCACATCACCCCCATCCTTCAGCAGCTTCACTGGCTCCCGGTCCCTCTACGAATCCAGTTCAAAATCCTCCTGTATACCTTCAAAGCCATCCACAACCTCGCCCCTCCTTACCTGTCTGACCTCCTCCACATCGCCACTCCAACACGCCACCTCCGTTCCTCTTCCTCTCTCCACCTCTCTGTGCCCCCTGTTCACCTCAGAACTATGGGGGGCAGAGCTTTCAGTCGCTCTGCCCCCCGACTCTGGAACTCTTTACCATCACACATCCGCAACATAGACTCCCTCCCCCTCTTCAAGTCCAAACTCAAAACACACCTGTTTAAACTGGCCTATCCCTCCCACCACCCCTAACCCACTTTTTTAAATTAAATTTCAATTGGTATTATTAATTTCTTTATTTATTCCTTTGCTGTTGTTTATGTTTAATGTTGCTTTGTTGATTTTAACTGTTTGATGATTAATGATTTTAATTGTTAATAGTGTTTTATTATTGTTTTTATATGTTCTGTAAAGTGTCCTTGAGTGACGTGAAAGGCGCTTCAAATAAAATGTATTATTATTATTTATTTATTATTATATTATGAAGAACAACACATGCCACTATAATATCACAGGCCCTCTCGGGGGTCACCCTGGGGTGACGTAGGCACTGGAAACGAGCTTTCAGCAGGCCTATGGTCATCTCCACCCGGGCTCTCGTCCTGCAGTGAGCCCGGTTGAAGTTCTGTTGGGGGCCTGGTTCAGGGTCGGGGTATGGGGTCAGTAGCCTCGGTTGACATGGGTAACCCCTGTCGCCCAGCAGAAGGCCGTCAAACTCTCCTGTAATATAGAGTGGATGCATGGAGTGTATTAAAGGAGGGAGACAAGAGAGTTATACTGCAAACCTTCAGGCTTCTTACCACGTTGGAGTCTGGCTCTCAGGATTGACTCGCGGAACATCCTCGAGTCGTGGACTGATCCCGGCCACTTGGCCTCCACATTGGTGATGATATTTTTAGCATCACATATGATCTTGACAGTGCAGAGAATGATAGATGTTAATTGAACTATGATGAGGTGTTTAACATGTTGAAGCAGTATATGTACCTGCACATTGATGCTATGTGTCGACTTCCTGTTCACATAATCTCCCTCATTATGTGAAGGAGCCCTGATGGGGATGTGCGTGCCATCAACGCAGCCTATTACATTGGGGAATCCTAAAACAAATTTCCTAATCTCAGTATGATGTTACAGCACAATATCAATATAGGGTGACAATATTTTGATTTCCACAATTACGACAAAATAGGACATTTTCAGGAATTAATATAAACAAAAAAGACCTCTGGACAGGACATAAAAAGATGACATGTCCGGACGTTTTACAATTAATACCACGAAACAGATCTGTACATCCTTTACCTGCGATCCTGCGGAACTCCTCTTTGATGGCTCGGACAGGTTTGTGTCCAGGAAAGGCCACAAAAAGCCGTTTCAGGGCGAGGCACACTTTTTGTATTGCCCTGCATACTGTTGCCTTGCTTAAATGCTCCACATCTCCAATGTTGTACAAAAAACTCCCATTTGCGAAGTAACGCAGCGCAACACATAAAATCTGCTCTGATGTGAGCGCATGACTGCGACCGGTGATGTTTGAAATGTGTGGTTGGATAAGGTTGTGAATATAAATAATAGATTGTGAAGAAAAACGATACCGCTCAAAAAGAAAATTGTCCGGGTGGGCTAAAATATCAATTCGGGGTCTGAGGATGATCTCTCGGTGAATATGTATTCCCCCGCGCATGATCGCTGCACCTTCGTCAACTGGATCTATATCAAAAGGACACGCCATCGTTGTAGATTGCAGTAGCTACTGTGCCGAACGGACCAAGATGACTTAAATCAGCTGTTCAAAACTCACCGGCTGACAGAAATCAAAAGGAGTGTGTGGCTGAAAAAGGGCGGAGACAGAGAGAAACTCTGGGTTTACTAGGTTAAACCTGCTCCCGAGCAGGTTAGGTTCACGGAGTCTGTTACTATGGCAACTGACCGCGAGGTTGAGTTACCTCTCTTTGTGAAACAGGTTAGAGTTACCCCTCTCTCCCTGGTTTAACTAACCCTCCTTTGTGAAACGGAAAACTCCGAGTTTGTTAACCCTGAAATCAGGGAAACTCTGAGTTTCCATTAAACCTGCTACGTGAAACGGACCTCTGGTGGCGAAGAAAGTCAGAGCCGCTGTCACCCTCACAGCAACTGGGAGAGCGCATGGGCCACCAGGGTCCGCATCTGAGGCCACAATGTGTGTAATCGCGTGGACCACCTCACGGGACAGGTGTAATTTGTTCCTGTGTCAAGGAAAATAGTAGATTGTTAAAAGGCAGTTGCATTGAACACGGTGTTGGAGGCGTGTTGTTAAGGTTAAATATGATGCCCTTTGATGAATCACCCTCGTCCTGTAATTTCTCCTCCTCCTCCTCCACCTCCTTGCAATTATGTACTCCATCTTTGTAGATAATGTTAAGCATGGAAATTATTAAATCTGTAGCTATGTGAGATCACATGCTGCAGGTAAATCTTGAGAACAACGGTCATAACTTACTTTGCTTCAGTGTGCGTTGATTTTTTCTCAGTGTTCTGAGATGACATGCCAAATATATACTCTCTCTGTGATGTCGAAGCTGTTTGTGGTTGGTAGAGAGATGTGAAGTAGTTAGTTTGCATCAGAGTTTCAGCTGTGTTAGTCGGTCAGGTCGAGTGGCAATTAGGCGTGCCAAACACGCTCCTAAGATATACATCAAAATATGCTGATGTACTGTAGATCTAAATGTATGTGCTGCATATATTTAAATCCCACATGACAAAGATGAGTTGTGCGCACAGATCACACCATAAATTCCAATAATGGCATTAAAATCACAACCATCTGTGCGTAATGACGCATCACGCTCCTTGGCCTCATGGCTCTCTCTTTCATAGATGTTGGCATATAAAATAAATTTGGTTCACAAAACTAAATATTATAATATTCGTATGTAGGCTTAAAGAAAATAACTCATCTGATCACTGAAACAAATCATCCGTTCAGCCGCTGCTGCAGCAGCTGCTGCAGGACGGAGAGGACACAGACACATATCCAGGTCGAGCTGCATGAGACATAAGAGGAGGGAGACAAATTAAATATCTTGTTAACTTCATCATTTGTGTTTATTTACTAGATATTTAATTTAATTTAATGCGGTTGCACCTGTGTTGATTCGGTCAGGTTGTGTGTCCAAATGCTTGCCAAACGTGCTCATCGGATCAGCTATAGATCAGAATATATCGATATAGATCTAAATGTATGTGCTGACTCAGATTATTAGTTGTTGATGATTATTTATTGCACTGAAATGTGTCTGACTATGGAAACCTGCTGGTGAGGCATCAGTGACGTATGCAGATACGCCGCCGGTCTGCCAAAATACTACTAGACCAGTTGCGCTCCGCCTTGTGCTGAAAGCTGACCAGGTTTGAATCTGCGAGCTTTCAGCGCACTTTACACGCCGGTGGCAAGCACGAAAATGTCACTGCGCCCGCTGTCGACACCTCCCCCTGCCACGCCACCACGCCCAGCTTGGTGGATCTCGGTTCACCTCCATGTGGCTCAGTCCACAAAAATACCGAACTGGCTGTACGCCGGGCTGCGCCAGACGAAAATACAACTGCGCGGGGCTCGCCGCCCTCCGCCGCATCACAGGGTGTACTCGAAAATAGAGCCCCTTATGTTCAGTAGACCACATTTTGTTCAGTAGACCACATTTTATCTTACTACTACTCGGTTTTAATTCTAGTAAGGTTCTTGTTATTTACTCCTTTGTTAATCGATTGGTTAGAATTAAAGAGCCGAGGACGAGGGACAATCACAAAATCTCTATATTAAAATGATAGTAGCTAGGAGGCTGGTCTAACAAAAGTGCAGAGAAAGGTGGAATTGCAGCTATGCCCCCTGATCTCTATATCAAACTGATTGTAGCTAGAAAGCTGCGCTGAAGGGAGTGCAGAGGTGTGTGTAAGACTGCGGCTCTGCTCCCTTGTCTCTGTATAAAAGTGATAGTGGCTGGGATGCTGCTCTAAAGGAGGCGCAGAGGGGCGTGTAGGACTGCGGCCCTGCTCCCTGATCTCTGCTCTGAGTTGTCAGTGGTTTGGACTAATAAAACCGGACAGATTTCTGGATAAAGGGCCGCTCCATCTCGAGTGGGATGAATGCCGTCCCGACTAAACAGACCAGGCTTGCCCCAAAACGACTTCGAATCATCAATGAAGCCCACACCATTTTGCGAACACCACCTCGACAGCCAGTAGTTGAATGATGAGATACGGCTACACATCTCAAATGACTCAATGTTGTGGAGGTTGAATTAATAGTTGTGAGAACTTTCATTCTGAACTGAGAAATGCACCAAAACAACAGAGAAAAAGTGTGAGCATCTTGTAATTGCACCTGTTGTGAAGTGGCACCATAGATAGATAGATAGATAGATAGATAGATAGATAGATAGATAGATAGATAGAATAACAAACTGAACAGAGACACTATATAGGCTTATTATGGGTTTTGCCGATTAAACCATCTCAAAGTGTGGTGAAGCAAGTGTATCCTGGAGAGGAGTAAGTAATTTTCAGTTTTCAGCTTTAAGACCATTGGGTTTTACCTCAGAAACAGATTTTTGCTGGAGCCTGATGTCACAATTGTGCACATATCAGCACAGTCTACTTTCATTTTCGAAGAAGAAGCAGAAGAAGAAGGAAACAAGTTAAGGAAAGGATATGGAACAGCAGAGACTGACACAAGAAAGGTTAGTATGACATTCAAAACAGGAGACAAAAAACCTGCAAACTAATGTTACTTCATAGCACTCCATATGCTGTCAAACCTCAGACTTCATAGGCCAACTTAGAGGATGTCAGACCTGTGTGACCTTGGGGTGTCAGCCACAATGATCTGTCATAAACATTCATCCTTTGTTCTCCACCAAGTAACCTTCTATTGAAACCATGTTTAAAATCATCTATGCCATTTATTTAACAGGTGTCCAATAATGGTGGTATTCTTGCGACAGATAGAGAGCTGACAGTCAGCTTAAAATTCAACGTGATGATTTCAGAATGCAGAAAAGAATCTGTCTTTGGAATAGAGAGCAGAACACCACCAGACACTGATAACACAGAGAGGTGAGATGGAAATCAATAAGATAAAATTTCAGATTATGCTAATATTAAATATGATTTGAATATTGAGGAAAGACCCAGATAAATGACTGTTGAAAATGTAGAACTTAAATCACAGATGAGCTCTACACTCAATACTTTATTTTGAGGTTAACAACACAATCACTTCAATAAAGTTTCATCATGAGAACCTTTACCTGATATGTAGACTGGCTCTTACCAGAATCATCTGTCACATTCATGCAACACACAAATGTCTGATGAGCAGCACCTGATTAGAAACTGACATTTAATTAACTTTAGCGCAAACTCAAAAGACTGCTCTGACGTCTGCTGCTGAGTGCACATGATTCATCTGACATTTTTGCTCCAAAACTCTTGGAAGACCACATGCACCACATGCATCCTCCATATGTTTTGTTCATAGATACAGATGTTTCGGTGAGGTTGGACTCTGTTGGCAGGGTCTGACTCTAAACATGCTGCAACTTTTTACATTAATGTATTAGACTTTTTGATTGTCATTTCATGAGATTGTGGAGTGGGGCTATTGATTGTCGTATTGGGAGAGTCTACTCACCTCCATTCTATCATGCTGTAAACCAGATCCTCCTGCTATTTTTTTTTCCTATTTTGTCTCTAGCCAATAGTCTGACTGCAGAGCGTGTAAGTAGACCCTGAAACCACAATGTCAACCTCTGATTTCTAAGCTGCGTACATGAAGCCTAAAACTTTGCATTTGGCTTGATTTTCTGAGGCCAAAGGTGACCATGTTTGGAGGAGGAGGAGGATCTGGAGTGAAGTAAAGAATCAGCGAATGTTAAAGTGTGAAAGTCTCACAGTCAACACCAAGAACTACTTCACTAGTTCAGATTGTAGATTCACATCCTCAATGACAATACCATACTGTGTTGTGCAAAAATGTGCACTACACTTCTCATCATGAGAAGATGCACTCATCTTTTCTGCTTCTGTGGCATCCTTAGCTGTCCTGCTAACAATGTACCTTTGTTTTTAAAGGACTCTGTATTTTTTTATTTTGTAGTTTGCTATCTTCCACTTTAAAAAAAAAAAAGGGGGGGGTATTCAAATACACACGTGTTTTTGTTAGTTCTCACAGTGAATTTAATGGAGCTGATTTATGGAGCGGTTTATGCAATAAAGACAGTTTTAAGAAATTATCAGTAGAGTCCACCAATCTGTCGGAGGGTATGCTACAGGGAGGACTTACCCCAGCAATGCTCCAGTGACTACTTTACCACATGCATTGCCACTTCATCTGTGAACTCCACGGTCAAGCAGCACAACATGGAATTACGCTGCAGCATCGTATGGTAAAGTGATGGCTCAAGGGACGGTTAAGACTACCAATACAGTAAAAATGGATGCCTTTTAAGGAACAGATCATCAGTGCCATGAGAGGATGCTGGCGTGTATATCACTGCTTCTCATGTTCAGCTATTTTACTATTTACAATCCACCTGATACATTTTGCAAGTCTAATTGTGCCATTTTTACATACTTTTCACGTACAACTTTAATTGCACTGCGCAACCAGTAGTGATCAAGCACTACCAACGTTACCTGGATGAATTCAGCCGGCTACTTCGGAACAAACTAGAATCTTACCATTGGACAGGCTACCCTGGCACCAGCGGCGGCAGATCCTACTCTCTCCGACCAACATCGCTGCGGCTTTCTGGGTCATCCATCGACAACGTCGTCGCTGTATACAGGTGGAACCTCCACTCGAAATTGCCCTGCAGTGCAACCTGTGGCTTGGCGTCTAGCCCAGCTAGGTGCGCCCCGGCATGGCTCTCTTCAGATACTCCGCAACAGAACTGATGAATCTCTGCTCCTCCACCCCCCCAGCTGTCTTAAAGTCTCTCCACATCTTGCATCATCCCAGATATGTCCTAAGAGCCCCCCGATATAAGTTTGTGCATATGACTACGAATGTCCCTACAGTCCGATGCCATACTTCCTTGTTGCGACGTCATCAAAACAAACGTCACGCAGAGCTTGACAACCTGCGTCCTCTGGCTTGTGCTGTCATACCTGGCCCCTCTGATGTGTCCACCAAAAAGACTGCAAACTTTATGCTACTGAATACTCGCTCATTAAACAACAAGGCAGAATTAATCCATGACATTATCACTGAAAGAAAACTCCATTTCATGTGTCTGACCGAGACATGGCAAAATCAGCAGGATTTTTTATCTCTCAATCTGGCCACTCCCCCAGGCTTTGTATACATCCAAAAGCCTTGCTCCATGGGCTGTGGTGGTGGGCTGGCTTTCATACACAAATCAGACATCATGATCAAAGATCTTCCCATTAACTCTTGCACTTTTGAATGCATGCATTTTGTGTTGACAGGGGCTGCACAGCTACAAGTTGTGCTTGTCTACCTCCCTCCCAAAGCCACCAGTAGGTTTCTCTCTGAGTTCTCTGAGTTACTCACCACTGTCTGCCCCATGTCCCCATCCACCATTATTTTGGGCGATTTTTAATATTCATGTGGACTCACATAGCTGCCCTTTTGCAACTGAGTTCTTATCTCTCCTTGAGTGTTTAAACATAACACAGCTTGCAATGGTCCCACACATGTCAAAGGCCACACTTTGGACTTAGTGTGCTCCACTGGCATAACTCCCCTCAATCTCCAGTGCCTGGAACTACAGTGGAGGAAAGAATTATTTGACCCCTTGCTGATTTTGTAAGTTTGTCCATTGGCAAAGAAATGAAAAGTCTCAGAACAGTATCATTATAATGGTAGGTTTATTTTAACAGGGACAGATTGCACATCAAAAGGAACATTGAGAAAATAACTTTAAATAAAAGATAGAAACTGATTTGCATTTCAGCGAGTGAAATAAGTATTTGAACCCTCTCACAAAAAGGACTCAATACTTAGTCATTTACAAGAAACGTTTGACCTCTGTGCTTGCAAACAAGGGTTTTGCCACTAAGTTTGCGCACATTTTAGGAGGAATTTTGGTCCACTCCTCTGTGCAGATCATCTCTAAATCACTAACTTTTTGAGGCTGTCTCTTTGCAACTCTGAGCTTCAGCTCCCTTCATAGGTTTTCTATTAGGTTAAGGTCTGGAGTCTGACTAGGCCACTCCATGACCTTAATGTGCTTCTTCTTGAGCCACTCCTTTGTTGCCTTTGCTGTATGTTTTGGGTCATGGTCGTGCTGGAACACCCATCCACGACCCATTTTCAGTTTCCTGGCAGAGGGAAGGAGGTTGTCTCTCAGGATTTGACGATACATGGCTTTGTCCATTTTCCTGTTGATGCGGTGAAGTTGTCCTGTGCCCTTAGCAGAAAAACACCCCCAAAGCAAAATGTTTTCACCTCCATGCTTGACGGTGGGGATGGTGTTTTGGGGGTCATAGGCAGCATTTTTCTTTCTCCAAACACTGTGAGTTGAGTTAATGCCAAAGAGCTCAATTTTGGTCTCATCTGACCACAGCACCTTCTCCCAGTCACTCTCTGAATCATTCAGGTGTTCATTGGCAAACCTCAGATGGGCCTGCACATGTGCCTTCTTGAGCGGGGGGACCTTGCGAGCACTGCAGGATTTTAATCCATTGCGGTATAATGTGTTTCCAATGGTTTTCTTGGTGACTGTGGTCCCAGCCGCTTTGAGGTCATTAACTAACTCCTCCTGTGTAGTTCTAGGATTATTTCTCACCTTCCTCAGAATCATTGACACGCCACGAGGTGAGATCTTGCGTGAAGCCCCACACCGAGGTCGATTGATGGTCATTCTGTGCTCCTTCCATTTTCGAACAACTGCACCAACAGTTGTCACCTTCTCTCCCAGCTTCTTGCTGATGGTTTTGTAGCCCATTCCAGCCTTGTGCAGGTCTACAATTTTGTCTCTGACATCCTTGGACAGCTCTTTGGTCTTTCCCATGTTGGAGAGTTTGGAGTCTGCTTGATTGATTGATTAAGTGGACAGGAGTCTTTTATACAGGTGACTAGTTAAGACAGGTGTCTTTAATGAGAGTGACTAAGGCCCGAACTACACGAAGGCGGATATTTATTTATCTGGATATTTTTGCACCCCCGTCTAAATAAATGTACCAGTCCACACGTGTTAGTTCTCAAAAATATCTGCGTCCACACGTAGCCTTCAAACTCAATCCTATCTGGTGCCGCTTAAAAAAAAATTCAGGAACAAAGCTACCTGATTGGCCGATGAATCGGAAGTTTAGCTCCCATTCATCTGCAGGCACAGCCCCTCTAACGAAGTTGTCCCACCACTTGACCCAAAACTTACGCTTCTGGCGAACTTTAAAACGCCTAACGTTAACGTTACGATTGCTCTCCAAAAAAATATTGGGCGCAGCAGACGCCTCTGTGAGCTGGCTGACTGGTGGATGTAATTGTATGAAATAAGGTTCACTTTCAAGGCTGAAATTAGCCCCAAAAGGGCGAAACAAACGTAAAGAATACCCTGTATGTCCGCCATCGTTGTTGTTATTGTTTTTGTTTTTAATTCGCATGCGCGAGCTGCGGTTTGACGTCATCGATCCGTAAAAGTCCGACCACACGAATCCTCTGTGGATACGGGATACGGATATTTTTTTATTTCTCCGCTTGTTTTTCCGGATTCAGATTTATCCGGTTTGAGTGCTCCAAACTCCCGGTTTGGTGTGGTAGGGAGGCCTAATCGGACATAAATATGTGCGGTTTGAAATATATTTGCCTTCGTGTAGTTCGGGCCTAATTGAGTAGGTGTGTCTAACCATTCTGTGGGAACCAGAACTCTAAGTGGGTGGTCGGGGATCAAATACTTATTTCACTCAATAAAATGCAAATCAATTTATATATTTCATATAATGTAATTTTCTGAAATTTCTTTTTGATATTTTATCTCTCACTGTCAAAATAAACCTACCAAAAAAAATATAGACTGTTAGTTTCTCTGTCAGTGGGCCAACTTACAAATTCAGTGGGGGATCAAATAATTATTTCCTCCACTGTAGCTGTCTCGTATCACCGTGCCATCTTCTTCTCTTTACCTGAGCCTCCACCCAGACTGCGTGTGAATTGGACAATCACATTCAGGAACATCAAGCGTGTATCCACACCTGCACTGTCCGGCATGCTGGCTCTACATCTTGCCTCCCATCCCTCCAGCCACACTGTGGAAGCCCTCACTGAGCACTACAACAAAGCTCTCTCTCTCAGTCTGGATGCTGTAGCTCCCATGAAGACTCGGTCCATCACTTTCAGCCCGCCTGCACCTTGGTTCACTCCTGAGCCTCCTGAAGGCAACTGGGCATCGGCTTGAAAGACTGTAGGCCTCTTGATGTACAACTAGTCCAGATTTTTTGTACAAAGACCATGTGGGGAATTACAAAGAGGCGCTCTCCAGGGCAAAATCAGTAAACACCAGAATCACCCAAAGCAGCTCTTCTCCACTGTAAACCGTCTCTTCTGCCCTCCAGATCCACCCCAACCATCGGACGCCACAGAACTCTGCTGTAAGTTCCAAATTTTTTTTCAGCAGAAAGTGGACGACATTCACCTGCAGCTCCGTCAGGCTGGCGCTCCATGTCCACCTGCCTTTCACCTGAAGGACTGCAACTCAACCACTTCTGCCTATCCACATCAGTGCTCCCTCTCCCCATTCTCACCACTCAGCAATAACCAGGTCATGGACTTTGTGTCAAAAGCTAAAACCACCTCTAGC